CCTGCGAGGACGAGCTGCGCGAGCGCATCGAGAAGCTGGAGAAGCGTCAGGCCACCGACGACGCCACCCTCCTGCTGGTCAACCGCTTCTGGGGACAGGTGGGGGACACCCCCGGACCCCAAATTCCTTCCCCCACCCCCCCCAGCAGCCCCCTCTGGCTCCAGCCCACCTGGAGGGAGGCTAAAATGGAGGAAAGCGGCCTCGGGGGCACTGGAAATGAGCGTGGGGACCCCAGAAATGGTCCTCAGGGACCCCAAAAATGGCTTTGGAGACATTGAAAATGATAATGGGGACGCAAGAAATGGCAGTTGGGACCCCAAAAATCACTTCAGGGACCCCAGACTGAGCTTAGGGACCCAAAAATGGCTTCAGGGATACTGGAAAATACTATGGGGAACCCAAAAATGACTTCGGAGCCCCAGAAACAGCCTTGGGGACGTTGATAATTCCTGTGGAGATCCCAAAAGTGGCCTTGGGTGTCCCAAAAGTGGCCTTGGGGAACTCGGAAATGGCCTTGGGGACGTTGAAAATTACCACGGGGGACGCCAGAAATGGCTCTTGGGACCCTAAAAGTTGATTGAGGGAGCCCAGATTGAGCTCGGGGACCCAAAAATGGTCTCAGGGACGCTGAAAAATACTGTGGGGACCCCAAAAGTGGCCTTGGGGACACTGAAAATTACTGTGAGGTCCCCCAGAGTGGCTCTTGGGACCCCAAAAGTTGCCTTGGGTGCCCCAAAACTGTCCTCGGGGACCCAAAAATGACCTCGGGAACACTGAAAATTACCATGGGGACCCCAAAAGTGGCCTCAGGGACACTGAAAATTATCATGGGGACGCAAGAAATGGTGGTTGGGACCCCAAAAATCACTTTCAGCACCCCAGACTGAGCTTAGGGACCCAAAAATGGCTTCAGGGATACTGGAAAATACTGTGGGGAACCCAAAAATGACTTCGGAGCCCCAGAAACAGCCTTGGGGACATTGATAATTACTGTGGGGATCCCAAAAGTGGCCTTGGGTGCCCCAAAAGTGGCCTTGGGGAACTCGGAAATGGCCTTGGGGAAGA